GAGTAAGCTGGGGTGGCCCTGACTAGCCAGGAGGTGGTTCTGGGCCCCGGGGGCGCCCACCACCACCGCGGTGGGCAGCGCGGCCGGGACGCCGTGGCCCAGGGAAGGCTGGTCCGGGCCTCACTTGAAGTAGCGGTTGGGTTTGTAGTGCAGCCTGCTGTGCGCCACCAGCTCCTGCATGCTGGGGAAGACCTCGGTGCAGCTCAGCGCCGAGCAGCGGAAGAGCTTGCCTGCGGGCGGGACAGGACCGGAGTGCAGGGGTGGCGAGGCAGCCCCCCCGCTACCGCGACTCCCACCTCCTGCGGCCCTACCTTCCAGAGACTGCGTGGGTGGGCAGTGGGTGCGAAGATGCTGTGCCAGGTCACGAACGCTGGGGAAACTGAGGCAGCAGCCAGGGCTGGAGCAGGGTATTTGCTTCCCTGCAGGATGCACAGAGCACGGGTTTACCTCTCTCCCCCTCACCCGTATGTCCTGTCCAGGGCCCTGCCCCCACCAGGCTGGGCAGCCGGCAGACCGGGCTGAGCCGGCCCGGCCCACTACTGTGGTTACAGTTCGGCACACCCTGGGCGCTCGGCAGATGGCAGTGCCCTCTAGGCGGGCCTCGCGTCTGCTCGTAATCGGCGCTCCTCATTCCTCTGGCTCATGGCCTACGGCTCCCGGGAGGCCCCACCACCGGTCACCTGGTGGCGGGCGTCGCCTGGGCGGCCGCAGGTCCTCACTGGTCCCGGACACCGCGCTGGCTGGGCCCAGGCTGGACCCAGGGCCGGGCTGGCCGCTGTCCAGCGCCGGGGGCGCATCCTGCGGAGTCCCGGCCGGCCCTCCGAGGTCCCACCCCGGGGGCGTGGCTGACCGGTCAGGGCCTGGCTCCTCCCCCATGGAACAGGACGCGGCCGTGGCAGGCTCCACCGGCGACGCCTCCGTGTGCGTCTCGGTGGAGCTGGGCCCTGCGAAGGCCGGAGTGTCGGGGCCGGGCCCCGAGGGCTCGTCCTCCTAGGGAAGAGGACGGGGTTCTCAGGGCCCGGCGCAAGCCTGGGGAGCCCCCTCCCGCGCCCCCAGGAGGACAGGCTCCACATTCCTCAGCAGCAAGTGCCCAGTCGCCCCCATCGAAAGGCGTCCCCGTGGGTTGAGGCGGGAGTCCTGGCCTCTGGGCGAGAGCTGGGAGGCGCCCCGAGCGCGGAAATGAACTACCCACCGAAAGGAGCCTCCCCCCAGTGCCGCGCGGCGCGGGGGGCGGCCG